CAAATATCAGGAAATAATCCTGCCGTGTAAAACTCAGCTCTGATGTGGCAGACTTGTCTCTGCTGATGCAGGTGTTTCTGGGCTTTTTTTGCCCTGAGTATGGCTTACAAGGCATTCATTCCTACCAGAGACCACTGCAAATGTATTGATTAAACATGTTTCCCTCATCTTTAAGTTTGGATCTTGTTTTTTGGCTGCAGTTGTCCATATAATTACTGTAAATCAAGAACCTCATGAAGATTAAACAGAAAATAATGGCGCTGCTGCTAAGCTAACTTAAACTAAAATAACTAAAGGTATTGGTGAACACATTTTTTTGAATGCCAGTTAAGTTTGGCTGTAACTTGTTGATCCTTTATGATCAGATCTATAAAAAGAAAGAAAGTTGTTTATAAACTTACCTTTTATTCCCAGAGAAAACCAATTGATGCTGAACTGAATACAAATTGAAAGCATCTCTGAATGCATTGGTTCTACATGCGAGAAATAAACCGTTTTTTTTTTGTTAGTAAAATAAAACTTTCTAGCACTCCATCTAAGTTCAAAGGAACCTGTTTCAGATGGACTAAACTAAAGGTAGATTGATTAATCAATATATTGGTTTATATTGACCACTTCATACATAATCAGTATAATTACATCCTTTAAAAGTTATTAAATATATGTTCTCCAAGTTAACTAATCATGCTGTGTTTTGTTTTCCAGATAAAGAATTCCGACATCCGACCAGAAAAAATCAGCTTCTATAGCGGTCATTTGTTGTCGTGGTTTCAGCCACCGACCTATCACCCATACCAGTCCCATAGAAGGGTCGTCATAGACCATCTCTTTTAATGATTAGAAAAATGCAACAACAGAAATTACAGTAAAACAAGCCGGTCCAATAAGACTTTAGATTGACAAAAACAAAAAAAAGTTTTGGAAATTGAAACATTATTCCTAGAACCAAATATCATCGTGTGACTGGAGTCATGAGTACGTAGCTAAAATATGAGCGCGAACCCCAAACGAGCTGGGGTGTTTCACCCCAGAATGCTTCGCTCTTCAATCACTTCATTTTTTGGTCTAAATCAAACAACTTATAGCTCACATGAACTTCAAAATACACTGAAACAACGATGCTGGAGAGAAACTAAAGCAGCACTGATCTGTTTCATTTGTAGGTGAAAAGACAATCATTCAAACTCTTCTTTCTCCTTTTGTTTCTCTCTCTCTCTCAGGATTGTGTGTCGGCTGAATGATGCAACGGGTTACCGAGTGCAGGACGCTCAGGTGGAGGTGTGTGTGAGAGACTGCATTCATCCTGACTACAAAGCAGTCTCGACCAAGGCCTTCACCTTTGTGGTAAGCGTTGATAATTCATGATAAAATGATGTCGGAGGTTGCGTGAATGATTTCATAACTGGATTTGACAGCCATGATGAAGACGATGAGTCATTCTTGACCCGTGTGTCTTCTGTGTCCTTCGTTAGTCTCCACATTTTTCCCGTGTCCAACCCTCTGCCGGGCCTCTGTCTGGAGGAACAAGGATCACCATTGAAGGCAGTCACCTCAATGCAGGCAGCGCCGTATCTGTGAAGATCGGGCTTCACTCATGCCGCTTTGAGAGGTGAGGGAATCCAAACCGCTCAGACGGATCTTTGTTCTGTCGTTTTTGTGTTAAATACACTCAAGTTTACAGCAATCTCATAGAAAATTTTAACATTTTTCCATTATGATGCATCATTTTTAACACCTCAAAAACAAAAAACAAAGTTTTGCCTGATAGCTACAAAAGATTTTTATTAGAAAAGATACGTGAAATTGTCCCTTTCTTCTCTATAGGAATGTACGCTTCATAAGGCTTCATGTACTTCTCATCCATCGTTGAGTTTTCATCAAGCTGTCATCTTTTCTTCTTACATAGTGTTCAATAATTTCTGTTAAAAATGTCCGTCTCCGCTCCCCGGTTGCTGCCATTGATTTGCTGCTGGTCTGAAAAATGCAGCTAGTGAGGGGATGACCTGCAGAACTGTAATTCACAGCAATTGTGGGAATGATAGTACAGCCTTTCTAAGGGAGGCTGATATCGCTGTTCAGTTATGCTGCAAATGACTTCAGTGCAGAGCCCTCATTTTGTGCGAAATATAACCATAATTTAAAATGAACTATGTGGTTGTGAATGGCATCGTGGCACACCCTGCCTGCTTTGAGCTGCAAAAATGTAAAAATGAAGCCATCCACCTCACTGATTATTTAGTTTACAGAGTAATCGGTCTCTGTTATCTTCCCTTTCACCCTCTCTCCACTAGATGTGCTAGGAATTCACGTCAAGGAGACATAGATCCAGTTAGATATGACCCTCCTTCCTGCAGCCAACAGGTCTTTTATTCCTCTGAGCTGTGATGTAAAAGAGGAGTCTGACTGAAAGAAAGTACCTTTCATAAACATTTGTTTTAATTCTCCTAACTCTTTCTTTTCCAGGAATTTTGTCCAATAGGTGCTTTTATTATAGAGGCTTTCCTATCTGAGGCAACAAGTGACAGGTTCAACTAATGAGCTTAGACCCATCAACTTTTCTTTTAATATCACATCAAAAAAAGAAGTAGTGGCCAATTTGAAGCTCTGCAGCACGTCACCAGAAAGGTGAATATAATAGTCTTGGCCTTTCATTCACTGAGCAGCAATAACCTTTATGGCTAGAGTAATGAACTGGTTGAGTCTGTCTCTTTAATGCGTTTGTATTCAGTTTGGCCTTCGCTTTAATCAAAGCCTATTTACCCCGAGTCACTCATCCTCTTATCTCCCCGTGCAACCCCCTTTTCTTTCCCCCCGTCTCTGTTTCCTCTCCCGGCTTAATTTGTGTGGCCGCAACCTTGTCAGAAAACACGTACATGGCACCACAGGCACTCCTGACATCGATGCTGTTGTGAAAATGGTTACCATAGCAACACAGCACCAGAGGAATGTGATCCCCCCCTAAATTGTCCTTGAATTTTTTCCGTCTTCCTTCATCTCCTCTCCGAGTCGTCTCTGAAGACGCCGGTGGAATTGCCCCCCTCGGGATGAAGCAGCGACACGTTCAACAAAGGCACCCTGATATCCTCGTTTCTGGTCGGTAGCCCGGCCCCACCCTGGGATCGCTGCAAGGGTCCGGGAACAGGTTTTTACTCTTCATCCTCTCCGTCTGGATTTGGCGTTCACAGCAGGTCACGGGGGAGGGACTTGATTCTGACCAGCTGGCTCTTTTTATGGTTGAGATCTATCACTGCGCCTTCCATGCACACACACACACACACATACACACACACGCACGCACACACACACACACACACGATTTTATATTTACCTGAAGCAGTCGGGCACATACGTGGGTGTAAACACACACAGGGTCTGCTAACACAGATTTGCTCACTGCAAGATGTCCCCAGTGTTCCACACCGTGCCACATGAAGTTTCTTTGCTGGTGACAGTTGGCTCTGTCTCTCCCAGCGAGGGAGTTGCATCACACAGAGAGGCTACCAGCCTGATGGAGAGACAGACAAAGAGACAGCGTGACAGCTTTGAACTCCAGCAGTTTGCTGTTTCAGCTGATGAAACCCGGTCTGGACAACGGGAAAGATGTTTGCCTTGTGTACAGGCAGATGTCAGCAATGTGTGTGTGCGTGCGTGCGTGCGTGTGTGTGCGTGTGCGTGTGTGTGCGTGCATGCGTGTGCATTCGATTAATCATTTATGAGGTTTGCAGTGGTTAAAGTTTGGTTTTGTTCCCGTCCTGACTCCCTTTTCTTCTCACCCAGGCGGAACAGCAAGGAGATTGTGTGCGTGACCCCAGCTGGCCAGGCCTCAGGTGCCACCCCGGTGATGGTGGACATCAACTCTGCAGAGATGAGGAACCCGGAAGTCAAGTTCAGCTACACAGATGATCCCACCATCCTCAAGATAGAGCCAGATTGGAGTATCGCCAGGTAGGGTATCCACCTAAACCCCACCCCCATGCTCATGCAAAAGAATGATGAACTCTCAGTAATTTAGAGGAAATGGCGTTTTTTTGTGTTTTACTATCTTAATGTTACATGTATGATTCAATAATTCACTACTGTAAAATTCCTATTTATCTATAAGTTACCTCTGTACACTGTTTGATCTACAATTCTGCTTGATGTGAGATCCATCTGCTGACCAGATACAAATGCACCACTGCATTATTAATCCTTGGTGGTCTTTATATCAACACTCATCAATCTTTTTGAGTTTAGCTGGACTAACTGAAGAAGAAACTCCACCTACAGGATGATAAATGTATTTTCTGCCTCCACACTCCCTCTGTGGGTCTGACAAAAACAAAGTTTTCCTCACCATTTCACTTCATAAAAGGCATGTTATTTATTCTGTTTATATTTTAAAAGTAAACCTTTGTGAGCGAGAGCAGCAGTAGAAGGAGGTTCCTGAAGCATGCCCTGCTGGCTGATGAGCTGCAGCAGAGATGTATCTGTGAATATTACTTGACTTATTGAAATGAGACTTCATAGCCACAGGAAGGTTTCTTCTGCAAACACAAGCTGTGGTGTAGAGGGAAAAACAGCCGAGCTCGGAGCTTCCAAATGCTAATGGGCTCACTAGCATGACCTAGAAACACGCTACTCTTCGGTTCTGAAGTGACACCAACATGTGCACACTTATCACTCTCTCATTCACTTCTGCTGTGGCTTAGAGTTTCAGGAACTGATTTTTTGGTCTAAATGTTTAATTAAAACTTAAGGTTCATAGAAATTGCAGAATAAAATGAGGCTGCTTTGAGATAATCGCGAATTCAGTTCTGGTATTTTTTTCTTTGTTTGGGTTTAAAGTGACTTTAAAATGGGTAGCAGCTGTTTTTTCTATAGAGTAAATCCGGTTTATTTAGAAGTGGAGGAGTGAAGCGAGATTTTCCCTCCAGACACCGTAGCAGTCATCCTCTGTGCCATCGCAAGGGGATGAGGTGAAAAACGGGACTCACATTTAAACTCAGCTGGGACACAAGCTCCCTCATCGTGAAGAAAAGGTGTGAAAGGAGGAGAAGTCTTGTTTGGAGTGGAATGAATGAAAGGTTGAAGGCTGAACAGGGGAAAATGGAGAATAAAAGCACCAGCTCCATCCCAGAGGGAAGTAACCTCTGCTCAGCTTGTTTTCAGCGTTTCCCTCAGTGATCCCACAGGAGGAGGTGCACGGTTCTCCTGGATATTTATGCTTTTTTATTTACAAAGTCATTTTGCTGGAGTGTTTCCTTTAGTGGGACATTCCGGATGATGTTTCCTCAACCGCTGGGCTGACTGGGACTCATTCTTCTCTGTGAGCGACAATCCAGGCCCCATAACAGATCCATGTCTCTAACACGCGTTTAAAAGAAGTTGATTAGTGAAGCACATTGTGCATGGTGCACAATGTAGTGGGAAGCTTCCATGTGGGAAAGTTTCTAATCATCTCTTAGATCAGTTCTCACTCAAGCCTCTGGCTTTTGTAGTGTTTGTATTTACTCAACATTTCCACAGCTCGGGTTTCTGCTCCTCCTCAAACAAACAAAGGATACATGTAAACCTCCTAAATGCTTCATCTGGTCCTTTTTACAGCAAGCATCACATCACCCAGCCTCCACCAGGCCTTCAGAAGACCACAGCACTCTGTCTGCTAAGTTATTCTGAGTTTTACAGCAAGTCCTGAGACCCTGCTGTAAAACGTATAACTTATCTTAGCATAGATGGTCATTGTGTTTCGGTGATGGTTTAGCTGGTGGACCAGCATATGATGCTAGTCTTGTATACTAGTCCAGCATCCCATCACCTGCATCCCTTACTCTATCTCATTGGAGAGATATTTTCCTCAAATTTCACAGCATATATTCTCCTGTTGTGGTGCACCCTTGGCATTTTAGAAAATAAAAAGCTGTTTGACTAAAGCCAGTGCTTCATTCTTATGCCAGCAGTGACTCACATTAGCACTGGATTGAGATAAGTTATACGCCGACTTATTTAGCATCTGTCAGAGCGTCTCTCATCAGATAAAGTTCAGCCTCACAGGCTGACAAAGGCAATGTCTTCTCACCCACACCACCCATGTCTCTGCTGGTCAGTGTCACATAGACCCGAATAGGTCACTTGTGTCAAAACTGCACAATTTGACACCCATTCTGTTTGGATGTGAAATAAAAAATATATCGGAAACATAAATTTGTGTTTCCTCTTGCCTTTGTGATGTGATGTGAGGCCACAGGCTTTAACAATCAGATATGACACAAATTTGCATCTTTTCCCCTCCAGCCTGTGTTTAAACGAGCTTTTAACATTCATGCAAGAGACGTGGCATTACTGTCATTGCAGGAGATAAAGGGCCTCCATGAATAAGCAGAGGAAAGGCTACAGCTGGAGTGAACATTAATGGTGAATCACCATCTGAAGGGCTGTATTCACTTCTGAGAACAGATTTATTAACATTTATATCCACTGATGGGCCTGCTGAATAGTGCATGCAGCAGGATCATGCAAGAGGAAATAAACAGGCGATGGTTAATTTCGCAGCACGCAAGAGCATTAAGAAATGTTCTTGTCTTTTGGTGTTATATAATTGTGTGTGTGTGCATGCGCGTGTGTGCGTGCACACGTGCGTGCATCTGTGTGTGTGTGTGTGTGTGTGCATGCGTGTGTGTGTGCGTGCACACGTGCGTGCGTCTGTGTGTGTGTGTGTGTGCGTGCGTGCATCTGTGTGTGTGTGTGTGTGTGTGTGTGTGTGTGTGTGTGTGTGTGTGTGTGTGTGTGTGTGTGTGTGTGTGTGTGTTATGTTCTTCTCTCTAATAGCATTTTCTGTATTTGTTTTAGTGGCGGAACCATGCTGACCATTACCGGAATCAACCTGGCCACCATTAAAGAGCCCAAAATGAGAGCCAAGTATGGAGCTGCAGAATCAGAAAATGTGAGTTTTTGTAACATTTGTAGTGATTTAATAGAAACTTCTCTCAAATGAGACATAATTCTAAAGACACACAGGAGTCTGCCTTTCTCCTCTTAGAGAAAAACACACTTTCTTATTATACACACACCTCAGGAGAACAGACACACACCTGCCGCTGTCGGTTAACCTGCCAAGAGCTTATTTTCTGTTTGTTTTTGATGTTGAATTTCCTTTTAGCAGTTTAACCTTTAAAATGTCAACTAGCAATAAAGGTGCTCCTACAAATCCCGCTCTCTTCACCCCTCACCACGGGGCTCAGCTAACCTTTTTCCCTCTCCGACTCTAAAGCTAAAAGTAAAAATATCCCACATTTCTTCTGTCCCTCCTTGACTGCAGAGAGGTATGTTTATTGGTGTGTGTGTGTGTGTGTGTGTGTGTGTGTGTGTGTGTGTGTGTGTGTGTGTGTGTGTGTGTGTGTGTGTGTGTGTGTGTGTGTGTGTGTGTGTGTGTGTGTGTGTGTGTGTGTGTGTGTGTGTGTGTGTGACAAATGTAGCACAATGTATGGCTGCAAAGGTCTCTTCTGCCATCCCGTGTTAGCATTAGCAGCGACTAGCTGCTCTGTCGTTATGGTTTAATTTGTGTGGAGGTCCACAGGGTATTTCTAGATGATATCAACCCTGATTACAGCTCTGATGTCATTAGGCCGCTTTTTCCTCATCATGTCATTACAGGCGTTTAATCACTTTTATCGTATAACCTTGTTTCAGCTCCTTACAGCACGCAGGATTTTATTTTCCCACTTATTGAAAACACTGAAGTACTAAATCAGCTTCACATATGTTCACGCCTTCGCCACTCCTCATTTTACTCCTCATCTCTTCCTGCCTCTTCAGAACTGCACAGTCGTCAACAACACAGTGATGGAGTGTCTGGCGCCCTCTGTGGCCGGATCTGACAAGAGCTTTTCAGAACTGGGTAGCAGTCCGGATGAGATTGGTTTTGTCATGGATGGAGTTCGCTCGGTGCTGGTGGTAAACGAGACCTTCAGCTACCATCCCAACCCAGAGTTTGAGCCTCTGAGCTCCACAGGCATGCTAGAGCTGAAGCCCAGCTCACCACTCATCCTCAAGGTAGGTGCAGCACAAATATCTACACACTGAGACGTTAGGACAAAAGAAGGTTAGCTGAGTGTGAAATATTCCTGTAATGGTAAAGGTTTAATCTGACAAATGATAAGTTGAGAAAATGTTAGAGCGACCTCTCAGCCTCCAGTCCAGTTGATAAATCACTGACAAGCATTTGAAATGATTTTTTTCACCCTGCTTGCAGATGTTTTTCAGCCTTGAAAGATGTTGTTTCTCCTCCTGCTTTCTCCGATGGGGGTTGAAGACCTTTAAGAGGGAGACATTTTGTTTCTTAAAACCTCTCCTTTCAAAATCAGGTGCAAAGTAAGAGATATTTATAAAGTGGGTCTGAGTTTTGCCATGGCACCCACTCAGGTTTTCATCTAAAGACGTTTGAAGAGAGACTTTATAGCATGTTGACTCTGAGCCATAGAGGCTGTGTGTATTTGAATCCTGAGTATTTACCCCATCCCCGCCCCCACAGCGTCGTCTTATGACCCCCACCCCCCGCCCCTTGAACTTCAAAGCCTTTCAGTAAGGAAATTATCCTGCAATTTCATGGAAAAACCAAAGCCTTTTTTCCTTCCTATCAAATCAAGGTGGAGATTTAGAAATGAGGTAAGCCTAACCCCCCAAACTTTAAATATAGTTCTGTAATGAAAAGCTCTGATTGCCCCAGTCGTCTTCTGCTGAAAACCTTCAGAAATAAGAACCCCTTAAACTAATTCACAGTGAATCATTTCAGAGAAACTTAAATTCTATTACAATGTTCCGAAAATACTTTCTCTCTCTTTTAAAAAAAACTGTGCTGAGAATGTTGCTGTTGAGAGTAAAACAGAGTTTTATACCTTAAATTTACCACAGAGTACACCTTGTGGGGCACGTTTTAACATCAACCTCTACTGATGCCAGCTTTTAGCAGAATCAGTAAAAAGCAGGTTTGATTAAAGAATAACAGGGCTAAGCCAAGTCAAAGCCAGCTTAACTGGTTCATTTAATTTCTATAAAAAGTAAAAACAAGTGTTAGCTACTTGAATTTCCCCTGCATGCTGATTTTAATTGTTTTAAGTAGTTGATCTGTACCCGTTTTTAACTGGCTGGTGTAGGACGGGACAGTGTTATCCGTACATCATCTGTTGTTCGTTTAATGGCTGCAGTGTTATTTTCAGGTCAAGTCACTGACTTGTGTCAGAGACTTTACAGCAATATTTGAACTAAGCAAGCATGCAGCGACAGTGGAGAGGAAAACTACCCTTCAGTGTGGGCAGCCATCTGCCATGACTCGCTGTGCATTAACTGAAAATGCAAATTAAGGGTTTGTTGAGGGTTAGCTATTATCTGAGATTTTTATCTTATGTCAAGATAAAAGATTCAAGATGGCAGATGCATCGCTCAGGCCTGTGGTTGCTTTGTTCATGTTTGTGGATCTGATTGTACGTTAGAGTTTTATGTGTGTGTCTGTTTCTAGGGCCGTAACCTAATTCCTGCAGCTCCAGGGAATACTAAACTGAACTACACGGTGCTGATCGGGGAGACGCCCTGCGTTCTCACCCTGTCAGAGAGCCAGCTGCTGTGTGAGTGGCCCAATCTGACCGGAGAACACAAAGTCACAGTAAGAGAAACTTTCATTCTTCATGTTGTTCCTGTGTAACGTCTCTCCTGTCATGTTTTGTTTTGATGTGCCACACGCTGACGTGTCAATACCTGGAAAAGATGTAGGTTAAGCGGGTGATAATTCATGATCCCACTAGATTTGCATTTTTCGTAATTCTATTCTTCCAGCCTGTTTTGTCCCGCAGTTCCTGCTATTTTGGCTCTGACGTTCACACTCACATCAATCCACTTCCTGCCTTTTCATTCATTCATCTCATTTTCTCTTCCCCCATCCAGACGACCCAAATATCTTCAATTACTCTAGATTTTTTTTTTTACCCTATTCGTATGGCTGCAAGCACAGGAACACACACCCCTGCTCTCGCCCCATTGGCAGTACTCCTCGACTGTATTTGAGTCTTAGAGGCTTTTGATCCGTCTGGCTTGGCTGGCATCCTCCCTGGCATTTAAGCAGTATTGGTATTCAGCAGAGACCAGAAAATGGCTTGTGGGCATGAGAGGTCTCTGTTTATTTTTACTCTCTTTCTGTTGGTGTTTTATAGATGTAAGCCAGTGTGAAAGCAGGAGGAAGAGCAGAGGATGTGTGTTATTTGTTTACATTTTTATCATTTGTTTTGCAACCAAGAACTGTTTTGATGTGATAATGGAGTTTTGGGTCACTCGTAGCACAACTCGGCTCTGCTTTGTTTTCCAGCCTAAATACATTTTGTGATTAGACGTAGGTTTGTTTATTAAGTTAGTCGCACTTTTATCCCCGTGCAGCCTGTGAGTTTTCAAGTTGGATCTGTTTAGGATTCCTACACTTTGCAGGTTAGACAGCTTTAATAACGACGGTGACATCTCATTTATTTTGTACTTGATGTGAAGGAAATTGGTTTCCAACATCACGGCAGAAAGCCCAGTTATAGTGTGTGCAAGTCCAGCAGAGTTGAGCTATTCTCTTTGTGTTTCTCATCAAGGTTCGTGTTGGGGGCTTTGAATACTCGCCGGGGACTCTTCAGATCTACTCCGACAGCCTGCTCACCCTGCCCGCTATCATCGGTATCGGAGGAGGTGGAGGCCTGCTTCTGCTGGTCATCATCATGGTGTTGATCGCCTACAAGAGGAAATCAAGGGACGCCGACCGCACCCTCAAAAGGTTGCAACTTCAGATGGACAACCTGGAGTCCAGGGTCGCTCTGGAGTGCAAGGAAGGTGAGTTGTGTTTTCCTCAGCTGAGCCTCATTTAGAGATCAAGTGTTGCTCACAGCAGCACGACTCACACTGAATAGTCCTATCGGTTTCTCTCTCTGCGTTCTCGCTCCGACTCTTTGTTTTCCTCTCCCAGTTGATGCCAACCATCCCCCTGCTGTTAGGTTGCTGCTGTGTGTGTGTGTGTGTGTGTGTGTGTGTGTGTGTGTGTGTGTGTGTGTATGTGTGTGTGTGTGTGTGTGTGTGTGTGTGTGTGTGTGTGTGTGTGTGTGTGTGTGTGTGTGTTGGTGTCTTTCCAGAGGAGTACTTTGATCTGAGCCAGCCACCAGATGTTGGCTCTTCACCCCACAAGAGAACAGCCTGGCTGGCCTCACTACCATCCATACACGCACGCGCGCGCGCACACACACACGGTGGGAAAGAGAGAGGAAGAGGGTAGGGGTTAGCCTGAGATGGGGCACAGAGGTGAGAAAGTGAGGGATTGTAAAGGAGTGGTTTGGTGTTAGCTGAGGACCACTGGGAGATGGAGAGAAACTTCTACACCAGTACATTAGCATATATTCACTTGGCAGGAGGAGGCATGGATCCTGGGAGAGGATCCTACTGATGCTGGTACTGGTTTGCTGGCAGAAGGAGAGAGACAGATGGGGTAGAGGAGAAGGAGAATACTGATAGCATGATCATGACAATACATTGGAAGGAGAGATCACTTTATTTGTTGCATTGTTTTAAAGAGGTTTACATGAAACAGTGTTTAATCTTGATTAGAAACTGCCTGAAGTCCAGCTGCAGCCTACTGGGTCAGAATAACAGAGACGTCTAGCTATAAACTGCTAGATTACATTAAAGTTGTGCAGATTTGTGTAAATTGTGTAGTTTTGGGTTTGTGACGAATCCGGTCTGAGATATCAGAAGTCTTACAGCCTTATAGTAACGATAAGCAGAATGACTATGATGTGGCATCAAAATCAAATAAAATATCCCATTCAGACTTCTGAAGCACCAGATTTAGGATCACAACGTTTTCTCTACCTACGGTGAGTTGGGTCTGAAGCAGCTGAGGCGCTGTGAGCTGGTAGTCACTCCATAACTTCTGATCAAAGTCTAACATCAACTATAAGGGATGGAAATAGAAGACAACATCTGCTGTGTTGTTGCTTTTGGTTCAAAATATTATAATCTGGTATTATCCTCATGGTGTGCATTACTCAAGTGCGTTGAAATAATCAGCAGCTTGTTTTCCTTGCACTTGGATTGTTTTTATTTCCTGTCCACCACCTATGCCCCACCACACACACTCTCATAAATTCATATTCTAGGTCAGAGTATGATTGGCTGCAGTGTGAGGCAGTAAGTCTGCGGGCCCCGACCCCTGTCTGCCCCTCGCTGTCTGGAAGACGACAAGAGGATGGATGTGAAGGGACGGAGTCGGAGAGAGACGTATGGCAAACAATTAGTGAGATTGATGGGATTATGAAAGAAGAGTTGAAAAGAAACAGATTTGGGGAGAAATTTTAAATGAAAAGGATGGATCAACTGAAGATGGGAGATGATTCTGGGTAAATGTTTAGTTGCACAGAGAGATCAGTGGGCAAACAGACGGTTACTCAAGTACAACAAAAGGAAAGCCGTATGTGTGATTAATAAGACAGGTGTAACGGAAGTAATTATCCCGGGGGAAACCAGGAAAACGCTGATATGAAGAGAGTTTGCAGAAAGTAGCTAGCACAGGAAAAGGGATGGAACAGATAGAAATAGAGCTGAAGGGACCAATGAAGCCAGCAGAGAAGTGACTTCTTAGATGTCACTTTGAATGGAAGAGAAAGAGATAAAGATGGGAAGGAGAGGATGACACAAGCCATCTGTTATTCTGGGCCTTGTTTTGTTATCTGTTATAATTTAGATGAGACACACAAACATTATTCTGAGGAAACTGTGGAGACTTGCTTTGGTTCCTTAGTTAGATACAACAACATAGAGTTTAACTGTTTAATTTGACTTGTGGCTGTTGTGTTTGGGAACTGATATGATCCAATTTTTCCATTAAAGTAACTTGAGAAACCATTAGATTTTATAGGATGGGGTCAGAAAACACACACACTCACACACACACACACACACACTCACATTGGGGACTGAAAATGTGTACAAACTCTGACATGCTTCCACATAAATCATCTGGGTGCAAGGTTGTGTGATCAGCTTCAAGGCATAGGAACCGAAGTGTGTGTGTGTGTGTGTGTGTGTGTGTGTGTGTGTGTCAGGTTTATGTTCCCATGTACCTGTTCATCCCGAACTCCCCCCCCCCCTCCTCTGCACCAAACCACTTTCCTCTGTTCTACCTCTCTTTAATCCCTCCATCTTTCTCTGCACTCATAGTTCTGCAGAATGCTGCTTTTTACAGCCACTCCTTCTAGATGTTTCTGTATTTTCTTTAAATTTGCTTATTTTTCTATATATATAAATATTATAGAAGAACATGGTGTGAAAGAGTTTCAGAAGATTGTAACCAAGTTATTTCTTCTTTTGTCACTTGGTGATGGGTCTTATACATTCATAGAAACACGGATGCAAAAGTTCCCTTTTATTGTTACTTTTGCTTTGCCACAAAAGAACATTGAACAAACTGACACCTTTATGTTTTGGTGACCAGTTGGAGACACAAAATTGCAATAACAAAAATAAAATAAGCATGCAAATCTTCTGTTGGAATCACACATATGACACCTGAGCAGCAGATTTCACATCATGGTCACCTGTGACATCTGGGACAATTGCAAACAAGTTTGCACCCGTGTGTAACTCTTGTTGTTGCAGTTTAGTCACAAAGTGTCCTAACTGTGTTTCAGTGATTTTTAATTTTATTTTCAGTCCGATCACCTATCCCTCCTTAAATTATCATTTTTAATTTCTGATTCACAGAAATTAAATCAAAAAGTTTTTGACACAAAATCAAGAAACCTGTGTGAAAACGATTTGAAAACAATTCCAGCAACACAGCAGAGCAGCTCTGGGACTCCCTTGAGAACCCTTTTCTAATGTTTTGAGATGTTTAGGAAACGTTCTTGCAACTGCAGTCCACTTTTTATCCCCTACAATCCCATCCCAGTGAAAGTCAGAACTGTTAAATTTATTTTTATTTAATCTTTCTTTGTTCTTTTTTGCAGCCTTTGCAGAGTTGCAGACAGACATCCACGAGCTCACGCAGGAGCTGGACGGAGCAGGAATCCCCTTCCTGGACTACCGCACCTATGCCATGAGGGTCCTGTTTCCTGGGATTGAGGACCATCCTGTACTCAAGGAGATGGAGGTACGGGTCAGTAAAGAGCGCTCTGCACGTATGCACACGCACACGCACACACTACTATCAGGCACACACACATTTTTTTTTTCATGTTAAGCTAGCTCTCTATCATCAGCCCATGTAGCCGCTGATGCTGTTTGTCACACTGCTGTTCTCCGTGTGTCGTGAGTCCGCCACAGTGAAACTGACACATCGGTGTGTTTGTAAAATCACATCAGAGCTGAAATGAAACAAGTGCATATAAAGTAGGCAATGGACACAAGTAATAAAAGATATACTGTTTAGCTGAAGCTTGTAATAACATAAAGTTAAACCATAATAACCTGTTGTGTCATAGATTAGAAGGCTAGTTGTAGTTTCTGAGTGGACTTTGCAGGACTGAGATTTCTGAGGATGAAATTTTCTCACGTTCATTCAAATGATCTCTTCACTGACGCTGCTGCTTCCTCATGAGGGAACACCATGTTACTGACATGATGCCACGCTGTGTGGAAGCTTAGTATGTTCTGTAATGTTCTGTATCTGTAACCTTTACTTCCATTCCCTCTCTTGTGCTCACTTTTCCAATCTGGCAGCAAACATCGTTTTACAGTTCCTCTTAAAGAGACTCTGTTTCAGTCATGCACACATCACATTAAAAAGGCCCTGCTGCTCTCCAGCGAGGCTTTTGTAAGGTTTCTGCCGCAGCATCAGGCCTCTGAGCTGTGTGCTATCAGCTGTATTCTAAAGGGACGGAGCAGCGCAACATTGGATTTTCATTTGTATGGCCCAGGCAATCACGGGCCACAACGGTGGTAGCAGGCAGATCAATTTCTTATTACTGCAAGAAGCTTGCATTCTCACCTCAGATCTGTGTTTTTCACTTTCAGAAGGAGAGGTCTGCATTTTGCTGTGTGTGTGTGTGTGTGTGTGTGTGTGTGTGTGTGTGTGTGTGTGTGTGTGTGTGTGTGTGTGTGTGTGTGTGTGTGTGTGTGTGTGTGTGTGTGTGTGTGTGTGTGTGTGTGTGTGTGTGTGTGTGTGTGTGTGTGTGTGTGTGTGTGTGTGTGTGTGTGTGTGTGTGTGTGTGTGTGTGTGTGTGTGTGTGTGTGTGTGTGTGTGTGTGTGTGTGTGTGTGAGTGATAGTAGAGAGAGGTGATGGGCTGGGAGCAGGGACATGTGGAGAGACTGAACTGACATTATTTTCTCTTTATGTAATCTGACAAATTGCAGATCTGTTTGTGAACATGTCGCTGCTTTTTCAGCGTGCCTTTTTGTCTGATGTACGCCATTTTCACACACTCATTACATCATTTCACAAATTAAACTCACAATCTATTCTCCTCTCTGCATACTTTCCACCTCACTCTTTTCCCTTTATTTTTAATATCGACCTTTTATATCCCTTTTTTTCCTACATCTTTTTCACATCCTTTTCTTCATCTCACCCATCTATAAACCTGTTTTATTTTCCTCACATTTGTTCTCAATTATTGCTTCTTTCCATGTTTTTACCACTCCCACCATCTCACCCCTCTCCTCGTCCCCTCTACACGTTTCCTCCAGGTCCCTGCGAACGTAGAAAAGTCCCTGACGTTATTCGGCCAGCTGCTGACCAAGAAGCACTTCCTGCTGACTTTTATTCGCACCCTGGAAGGCCAGCGCTCCTTCTCCATGAGAGACCGAGGCAATGTGGCCTCCCTCATCATGACGGCGTTGCAGGGGGAGATGGAGTACGCCACGGGTGTCCTCAAGCAGCTCCTGTCTGACCTTATTGACAAAAACCTGGAGAGCAAGAACCATCCAAAGCTTTTACTCAGGAGGTATAGAAAAGCAGGACACAATATAATCTTACACAATCTTTCTTATTTTATTTCCCACAACAGTGAGGCACACTAGTCAAAAATCTGAATATTTGAATGCAATAGATGAATAATAGCGCTACAGTTAGCTTTAGCTTAGAGGTGGAAGTATGTGGACGGTGACTCTGGCGTTTATCAGGCATATGCGACTTTACCTTGTCTCCATCTCTCAAACCTGTCCCTGTCAGAGACGATTACACCCCTGAGCACACATGCACTCCCACCAGAGCTGCCGTGAGACAGGCCACGCTATCCCCGTGCTCTCACGGTGAGGAGGGTGGCTATAGGGGAAGGAAGTACAAGCATCAGAGCAGATGTGAAGGATAGGGAGAGAGGGAGAGAGAGGGGGGGGGGGGGGGGGGTTAGTGGGGAAATGGACAGCTGAGCATTGGAGGAGAATAAATATGAGAGGTGAAAGAGGAAAAAGTAGTGAGAGAAAGGTGGATGCAGCTCCAGGGAGGAGGGGAAGTGGTGATTGACAGAAGCAGAAGGCTAAATGTCTACAGGGAAACTTAGGCTAGAGTGAAACCTGAGGAGAAAAGAAGTGGAAGTTAAGTTCAATATGGTGAGGAAGTGGAAGTGGAAGTGGAGCTGCTGCAGACTGATTCACATAGTTAAGGAAGGACACAATTAGTGGAATGGCCTGTCTCCAAATAAATTGGAATTAGACATTTAATGATAAAAAAGTACAGTTTCTCTCTCTTTTCCAACTCCTTGGAAAGATATTTAATTAAAAATCTAATCAAAAAATGACTCTCAGCCAGTGTGCCCGTGTGAAGCCTTTTTCAATCCCCTCTTGGGGTGTGCAGTCACAACACACTGTCCCTGCTATACTAGCCTCGGGAGCTGGCATTAATAGGCTGAGCACTTGTAAAACACGGCTCGTTCTGTTTAGGTCTTCTTATTTAACAGATGGACCTTTTTATTTTTAGACATACAGAAAACAGGCTCTGATGCAAACTCACACCCTATTTTGGGGTAAAATCTTTCTCTTCTTGTTGATTAGAAGCTCAGATTCTTGTGTTTTCCTGTCGCACGTGTTTAAAACTTCTAAATGATTCTTAACTGTTGCATAAATTTGCCAGATTATTCCAATATGTGTTCATCCAGGTTTAATCTCACAGCTTTATTGATCAAATGAAGTTTCTTGACAACATCAACATCAAACTGGATGGTGGAGGTGTGGGAGTCCACGTCCTGTGTGTGCCACAGGCCTTTACTGGTTTCATTACCACACTGTCCTAGTTTCCTGTTTCTGTATTGTTCCATTATTTTCAGCTGCCATGAGGAAAAGTTAATGTTTTGTTGAAGGTAAAGAAGAAAACACAGTGGTTTTTCAACGGGCCTTATCATTTTCGGTGATAATGCCTAAAGGGCTAAAGCTAGCTAAAAGCAGAAGAATGTGTCCCAGTTAGACGCCCCAGTAACCCTCATGGCTGTGGTGTTTCTAAAGTGTCTCAGACTGTCGGCAGCGCGCTGATCTCTGAGGTAACTCTCACTGCGAAGCGCTTTAATTGTTATTTCATTTCCACGTTGATCATGCACATGCACAGGTTTCTCCTCATTACTCCACAGGTTTGTGACAAGTTACAACAAGACAAGTTACTGAATTATACTAATTGGTGATTTTTCCTCATAATGAGGTGAGTGGGTTTGCTCTGAGCTAAAGTGTGAGCGGGGGGGGCGAGAAAATGAACAGAAAGCAGGGGATTGTTTTGTTGAGTTGGTTTGTTTTTAAGAGGTGTTTGAAGGTTAACCATGTAAAGACTGATGATGTCCTGCAGTGTTTCTGCGTGGGTGGGTTAAACACCTCCCAATCATAACAGACTGCAGCTATAAGGTTCTGCTACTGACTCTGCTTCCTGGTACCAATCAGCACTTTTCTTTCCTCCTCCAGAACGGAGTCAGTCGCTGAGAAGATGCTCACAAACTGGTTCACCTTCCTGCTTTACAAGTTCCTCAAGGTGAGTCTGTCACACTCACACACACACATTCACAGCTGCCATATTAGATAAGGCACCAGCAGCAGGACACCTTTCATGTGTTAAGTTCTTCCTCCTCCAAAACGGAGGGATCTGCAGTCTGAAGCGCTGCTCAGACACAGATGTTAATGTTGTTGTGATCAGCGTAGCCTGTCGCACTAGCCCATCTTCTCCTAGCTGAGCGCCTTCTCTCTTCAGAACATCTGATCAAATGCCTTAAAAACACTGTTTTGTTTGTGTGCTTTGTCGTTGAATGCTTTCTTCTGATTTCACATGAGAGAGAATAAACAAGGCTGAGTTCTTGTTTCCTCTCTCGTGCTGCCTCCATTCAAATGTTGCTGGATCTAATCAGTTAGCAGCGGGGCTTTAAACCCCATCAGGACTGGCAGTCTGCTGGACAGCAGACCAGCCAAGCCCCCAGGGCTCCCAGTTAGCATCTGTGCATGTGAGCATGTCGGTGTTGGGTGAGCGTGCATGTGTGTCTTGGCTTCATGTGTGAGGCTGGACAGCCAGAGTAGTGTTCAGGAAAATGAGAGTGGGTTACTGGGGAAGCTGTTGGGGATTTATCCAGCATCTGTGTTTATGAACTTAAGACGACATAGAAACAACACACACACACACACACACACACACACACACACACGCAAGGGGGTTTGACTGAAAAAAGCAAAGGCAGAAATTGAATGTAAAGAAGAAAAAAACCGATTGACACGGAGGATGGTAATTGAGCGAGAAAACAACTCTCGCTTTTATCCAACCTTCGTGACTCGACTTTTCTTGACTTTTTTTTTAAGGGTCATAAAAAGAGAGGCCTGGAACAATTTCATGATTCAGTCAGGTGTGAATAGGGATCAGAAAAGGTCAACTAGTGTCTCAGAAGGGATGGAAGAGATGGAGCTTTTACCCAGCAAAGGAAGAAAACATCCCTCCATCCATTACCTTGTTCTGAAGGCTCGCCTGTCCTCTCCTGCAGCTCGTTTGAGAGTGATTGCTTGTTTTTGTTCTCTTCTCCAAATTTCCACTTGCAACTTTTGATAAAATTCTATAATTGTGTAAATATGTTACAGGAGAGCACAACAACGCTGCGTTATCTTTTAAGACACATAATATGACATTGTTTGAAGAAGACAGAAGGGCTGAGATTTGTACTGCACCAGGAAAGGCAGGAAGGCTGCTGGTGAGCCGTTTCCTCCACAGGAGGCAGGCAGAGCTAGATGATCCCACAGAGTCTGACAGCTCACCAACATGACACACTCCCGGTAGCTGAAGGACACGGTCCAGGACTAGGAAACGTCTTCTCCTCCAGGTCGAAAAATAATGACAAGTTAAAACATCTCATTTCTGTCTCAGTGTGATGCTGTTGTGAGGCGACTTTAGATAAATAATAAAATAGTGAAGCTAGTTAAAATTTTCAACTGTCCTGAGTACGCTGGCTGCTTGTACGTTTGAATCCCCACACAGGGTTTACTTATTCCACTCTCTGATCCTGGCTAAAGGAAACAGGCTGTTGGGTATTTTTAGCTGAAATCCACCACAGATGATTAGGCCTAATGAACTGGCCCTAGTTTAACGTAATATTGCTTTTGGTTTTCCTGAAGTGAAAAACAACTTTTATTACATATCGTTAAACATAATCTTTTGCACTTTGTGTGAAGTGGTTAAACAAGAATGTGTTACTCACAAAGGAAAAAGGAGAAATGCATTTTTAACTAAATAAATAAATGAAGATGACGAATGTCAGACATTTTGTCCACTTGTCATAATGATCTTAATATCAATTGTTGCATCTCAGACTGTCTGCTTTGACAGATTCAGCCCCTGCTGTTGATGTTGTTGATAATTTAAAGCATCAACCCAAATCTGCAAACCCATGGCAGTTACATAAATGTCCAATGATTAGTGGTATTAGAGGTTAAAAAAGGCAGAAATACAGATTTACCTGGATAGTTTATCTGATTACTCTTTAGTGGTAGCTCAACCTCCTCCTCTATTATAATACAAGTAATAAAAATGGCTAAAAAATGTCAAAGTAAGAGAAGCCCAAAAGTTGCAAAGCAGGCAGTCGTTAGCTGGCAGGTTGGCTGAACGACTGAATGAAAAAGGGAGTGAGAGAGTGATGGAAGGATGGAGAAGGCCCAACATCCCAGTGCTTGTTGCTTTGCTGACACGTCTCACACACCAAAGTGCTTCTCCAAGCGTTTTTCACCCCTCAGTCATTAACCTTCTATTAACTCCTCCATCAATTGCCACTCACTCTTACTCGCTCTTTCTCTGTTTTTCCTCCTCCTCGCTCATTCTCACTCACACACAAACACACACATACACACACAAACACACACATACACACACACACACACATACACACACAAACACACACATACACACAAACACACATACACACACACACACACACATACACACAAATGGAGACTTTCAGGTGGTGTTTTTTCAGTCCAATAAGACAGTCTGGGGAGAGGTTAGTGTGTGTGTGTGTGTGTGTGCGTGCATGCAAGCCTTGGCCTTGTCGTGAACTTCTCCACTTCTGCTTGAGAAGTATAATTAGTGAGCTGCTCAGCAGAAACACACACCTTTTGCTGTTGTGTACGTTTTACAGGGCATGTTTCTGCAAAGTTGCATTTCTATTTTTAGCTTCAAACTGTACTGCCCTTTCCTCCCGTGCTTTATTTTAAGTTTTCTCCCTCATGTCTCACTCTCCTGCCCGTCTCACCTTTTAACCTTTCCTTTTTATTATTTCTAAATCAGGAATGTGCCGGTGAGCCTCTCTTTATGCTCTACTGTGCCATGAAGCAGCAAATGGAAAAGGGGCCGATTGATGCGATCACAGGAGAAGCTCGCTATTCCCTCAGTGAGGATAAACTCATCAGACAACAAATAGACTACAAGACTTTGGTCAGTGCACATGAACACTTTGTAAAGACTCTTTCAGATGCTTATGGCACAGATTTAAAACATTCACCGCTCTTAGAAAGTCTAAGTTCCTGCCACAAGATGACCTTCCACTTCCCAGTCCAGATGTAAACCTGTGCCTTCCTCCTGCAGACGCTGCACTGTGTGAACCCAGAGAATGAAAATGCTCCAGAGGTGACCGTGAAGAGCCTGAACTGTGACACGGTGACGCAGGTGAAAGAGAAGCTGCTGGATGCCGTGTACAAAGGGACACCGTACTCCCAGAGACCGAAGGCCTCTGATATGGACCTGGGTAAGATGAGGGACGAACTGCTACACACACACACACACACTCGCACAAGTGTGCTCTACAGTGGGGGGTGAAGAGGGAATCATGACAAGTGCTCTCTAGAGCTAGAGGGGGCCCTTCAGACAGGAGTTCATTTTGCACAAAGAAAATCTGAAAGATCCAGTTTGCTCTTTCTAAATGTTTTCTAGTTTTTGGGTGCAAATATTAAGGGACATGTTCAAAAACTGAGACAAACATATTTTTAAATAATTTAGGTGAAACACAGAAAGATGTGATTACGTGTGTGTGTGTGCGTGTGCGTGTGCGCGTGCGTGTGTGCGTGTGTGTGTGTGTGTGTGTGTGTGTGCGTGTGTGTGTGTGTGTGTGTGACAGAGTGGCGTCAGGGCAGGATGGCCCGGATCATCCTCCAGGACGAGGACGTCACCACTAAGATCGATAACGACTGGAAAAGACTCAACACCTTAGCTCACTACCAGGTACCCAGCTGCTTTGTTCTAACACAAATGCAGCAGTGCATTGTGGGTAGTTGTAACGAAACATCCACGGGTTTCTGTAGCTTCAAATTCTTCTGACTGAACTCCGTGTGAGCGGAGCGGTGTTGGACTGTGATCTTGAACTTCCTGTTTGCTGCAGGTGACTGACAGTTCGGTGATCGCCCTGGTGCCTAAACAGAACTCAGCCTACAACATCTCCAACTCCTCCACGTTTACTAAGTCTCTCAGCAGATACGGTACGAGAGAAGGTGTGTGTGTGTGTGTTCTTTGTGTGTAAAAGTGTCCGTGTCCATTTCATATTAACATTTTATCAGAGAGAAGTTCCCTGTGAGACTGTAGATGTCTTTGTCCTCACCATGTCTGCCTTTATGCTTACGCAGCGACAAATGTGGTTTTTACAAAAGCTCATATTGGATTTGCTTGACGACAAGTAATGATGGCCACACCTTCTGTACCAAGGTTTAGGCAGCTCATTAATGGCAGACAGAGCCATTTGTCGACTCTCAAGGTTTCCATATATTTCCCTCTGAAGTGAGAAGAGTGTGTTGTTGCACTTTATTAATTTAGGTGTGGAAAAAAGGTTTAGTTAATTGAGTTTGAGTGAAAAATCTTCAGGGCACATCAGGCTTTACTGTCACCAAGGTTCAGAAACAAACACATTTTCATTAGTTTCATATTATTAGTTGTTCTTTGTCACAGTCTTAAAAGGAGTTTTTTCACCCCCCTAGTGTCCCGTTAGTAAAACCAAAAGTGAACCCTTCTCCTCGCTGTGCGTTCATCTTTTCAACACCTTAATCTAACAGTTGAAATGTCTCCTCTGCCTCATTAGTGTCTACAGGAGCGGTTCATCACCAAATCAAACAAATCAGCTGTGTTCATGATCCAAAACATGTTGGAAACAAGCTGGAAGCAGACTCCAGCTCTACCATGTCAGCTCCACTTTACTAAGTCCAACAAGGATCAGACCAGCAACTCTAAAGTTGCAAGTGTGGTATTCTGGCCACAGAAGGCAGTGGGGGTCTGAGTAACATTTCATTAACCCTCTAAATGCTCAAGAAAATGATTAAAAAGTATGAAAAGGTTACATAGTACAACTTCAGAGACTGTCTTGTCTCTTTCCTGAAAGACCAGACTCACTCCTCAGTCCCATTCACTCCCCTGGTCCAGATGTTCTCCTGGCATCTTGAACCTCTCAATCCTTCCCTGCTTTGTCACACACGTGACAAGCATTCAGACTGAAAGCATAATGCTCGCTGTCACAAATATGAGGTCATTGTCCAGCAAAGTGAAGGGAGGTGAGAGTGACAGGTGATTTTATTCAGGAGTGAGAGTGACATGAAGTTCACTTTTCAAAAAGCTTTTAACTTCTTCTCAGGCTCAGGTTTTACTCTCTGCAGCAGGGTCAGGTCACTTATTCCTGAGCAGCTTGATTCAGTTGGTGGCTTTTAACCTCGTCTCTGATGATCATGTGATCAGTAATGGAGGAAAACCAGCTGAAGTGATCATGTGCAGGATTCTCTTTAGTTTATCTTACTGTCTACGTGAATAAATCTAGATTATAATGAGAAACTTTTCTTTTTGATTATCTTACTTAATTCCTTCCTTTGTCCTCAGAGAGCATGCTGCGGGCAGCCAGCAGTCCGGACAGCCTCCGGTCCCGAACGCCCATGATCACCCCCGATCTGGAGAGCGGCACCAAGCTGTGGCATCTGGTGAAGAACCACGACCACTCAGACCAGAGAGAGGGGGACAGGGGGAGCAAAATGGTCTCTGAGATCTACCTGACCAGACTGCTGGCCACTAAGGTAACAAGAATCCCCCCCTCCCCGTGACCTCGTCATGTAGTCCATTTAAAGCTGCAGACTCTGCTGACCTTTGTTTGGTGGCGGGCCAGAGGCCCATTAACATTATTCCTAACCTTTCCCACTAAGGAACACATACGCACCGTCTTAATTAGGAGGTTGACCTTTGGCTATGGAGTTGTTGTGTTGGTGTTACTGGGTCCTCTGTTGGCCGCCTCAGAGCTGGTCCTCCACATCCTGCAGACACCGCTGAGGGAATCACTCTGGTTCTTATGCAGCACCCGTATTCAGATTATAATCAGCCTGGCAGGTTTTAAACTACACTCAGGGCAGGAGTGCTCCAGCCACCGTGGAGTAGAGAAGCTGACTCTCCACCACGTAAGTGAAACTGCAGCAGGAGCTCAGAGGCTGTTTTATATTGTGATCTGTTAAAGCACGAGGTGGCTTATTTAGGCGTCTTCATCAGGACTCCCAGAAGCAGCTGAGAGAATTATTGGTCAATAGTTGGTTAGCAATTTATTCTTGGGAGATTAATAAATCTGAAAAGTTAGCTGAGCAAGAAATGCCGTTGTTTCTACAAACATGTGAGAAAAGATTCAAATTAAGAATTTAATTAAGATGTTTGTTCAACTTAAAGTTCACCTCTAATGTATAAATTCACCAGGAGATTTTTCCCTTTAAATATTTCCCCACACCTCATTACAGTCAAACACAAAACTAATAAACTCAGATCCCCGTTGGCTCCTAAAGCTAACTGAAAACATTTGTCCACACGGCTGTACTCTTGTGCTCACAAACACATTTGCCCAGATAGATTTAACAACACTGCCGGGCTTTCAAACAAGCTGCACTGCCTTGCTGAAACGTCGCCTCCCCATCAGCTTTCACTCGGTAGCTCAAGATTTTCATTGTTTCAGCTCCAGGTAGGAGAGTGCAAGGCTAGCTGCATCGCCGCTGCCTCGATTGGGAAATGATTAAGATGCAAACTGGAGGAGAACAACGGGGGGAAGTTGAAGCGCTGCAGCTTACATCCCCCACAGCTTTGTGTGTTTAGGAAGCAGATTTGTTAACTCGAGCGAGGACAAAACTGCTACTTCAGTTTCGGGCTGGTTTGAATAAAGTTTTTCTAAAAGGTGGCCCAGCTGCTTGAAGATGAGGGAAACATCAAATCATTTCAACCTCAGAGGAGTTTGTGAGGATTCTGTGGGATGGAAGCATCTCGGAGCAGCCTTAGGCTGAACTCCCACTGAGACCCGTCATAAACACCGACGGCTCTGCATCATCACAAACTCTCAGGAAGGTGAAGCAGCGAAGGCTGTCGCTCTCTCGCACCTTCTGACAGCCGTCACCTACAGACACAGAGGGGAGCGGCGTGCTGGAGCCCCGTCATTACTGATCAGACTGATTAGCTTTGATCAAGCCTCCACGCCGCTCCAGCACACAGGAAGAAGCCGCGCGGCAAACAAACTGCTGATGTGTTGGTTTTTGTGTTCAGGGTACGCTCCAGAAGTTCGTAGATGATCTGTTTGAAACCATCTTCAGCACAGCACACCGGGGCAGCGCCCTGCCGCTCGCCATCAAGTACATGTTTGACTTCCTGGATGAGCAGGCGGATAAGCACTCCATATCCGACCCAGATGTACGGCACACCTGGAAGAGCAACTGGTGAGACTGAAAGTTTGGTTTCTGGGTTTTAGGGTGGATATTCAGTTCTTAACCTGTAAGATTCCTCTAACTCTGCTGCTCTTCCTCTCCGTCGTTGCAGTCTTCCTCTGAGGTTCTGGGTTAATGTGATCAAGAACCCCCAGTTTGTCTTTGACATCCACAAGAACAGCATCACAGACGCCTGCTTATCTGTGGTGGCTCAGACCTTCATGGACTCATGTTCAACATCAGAGCACAAACTTGGGAAGGACTCGCCTTCTAACAAGCTGCTGTATGCTAAAGACATCCCCAACTACAAGAACTGGGTAGAAAGGTGGGTCAGTGTGCACCAGTAGTCCCTTAAGGATCTTTGTTGGGATGTAAACTCTTCCCTGGGCTTGTGCAGGTACTACGCTGATATTTCCAGGATGCCTGCCATCAGTGACCAGGACATGAGTGCCTACCTTGCGGAGCAGTCTCGTCTGCACTCCAACCAGTTCAACAGCATGTCTGCTCTACACGAGATCTACTCGTACATCGTCAAGTACAAGGACGAGGTCAGATTTGAAGGTTTTCTCTGTCAGACGAGTTTCTAGAGCTGCTGTTTCTGTTTAGATTATATTGGAGTGTATTTGTGATTTGTGGAAACTAACAGTTGAGAAGACTTGCTGGAACCATTTAAAGTAACACTTAGAAGTTTCCCACTTCTCCCTCCTACAGGTTGAAAGTGGAATTACAACTGTCGTAAGCAAACCCGCTGTAGCTAGCGCTAACAACGAGCTAACGCTAAAACGAGCCAACTGACACTAAATAAACCACAAAGTAAAAATATCCACGCTGTTGGACAAAAGGGTATTATTACTCCCAAGTCCAGCAGCAACAAAAGCCAGATCACCATCAGTCCGTGAATTCATATCTTCCTTCAGCTGCCTCAGTCAAGTGTAGTCCACACTGATGTCCATGCTGGTTTTAGCTCTTTGATTCGCCTCCAACGACATTGCACGCTTATTTTTTTACTTACATAAAAGCAAAATCCTTCTTTTTCTTCTTCCGGTGCTTTTATTGATGGTTGTGAACTGCTAAGTTTTATATTAGCTACTGGCACCGTCAGCAGCCACTGAGACCTCCTACTAGTGCACCTACTCAACCCACACAACTGTTAAGTTTCTGGTCAGCCGAGGGCTACAGAATGCTGTCCACTGTGACGTTGCTCAATATTACGGCTCAAAAACCACTGAAACCAGTTTGAAAGCAACAGCTTAAAGTGATAAAAACGTTTGTTGCTTTAACTGTTTTATTATTAGAAAGGATGAAGAAACTGAGCTGACCTGCAGACTAATTAGCATTATTACAACATTTCTGCATCACAAATCTGAGGGAGCTCCTCCTCTTTCTGTCTCTGAAAGCCGACATGTTTGTGACAGCATCTGATGCCCTCCCCCGCCTCGGTCTGTTTTCAGATCTTGTCAGCTTTGGAGCGGGACGAGCAGTCAAGGAGACAGAGACTGAGGAGCAAGTTGGAGCAGGTCATCGACACAATGGCCCTGACCAGCTGAGGACCACCCTCCTCCTCCTCTTCTTCACTTCTCCTCTCCATCTGTTATTTCCCCCTTCGTCTCTGTCACCCGGACGAAAAACAAAAGTCCAACCGCCGGACCGGAGCAGTAGACAAACTGGGCAGGGAGGGGTTCAGCAGAGACGGGCGGGCCTGTGTACGCTTACATGTCTATGTTTGTGTTTGTCTGCAACCCCGTGAGGTGTGTGTGTAAAAGAGAGAGGGAAAAAGAGCGACAGCGGGCACCTTCACACACACGAAGAACAAGTTGACTGACAGCATTTTGTTATCGTGGATGTTGACGTTTGTGGTTTGCTTGATTTTGATTTGAGACTTTTTGTCATGATGACGCTGATGATGATATCAATGGAAGCTCACAAAAGAACTCCGTATATATTACATCATTATCAGCAGAATGGACCAATCAGTCGTGAGCCAGTGAAGAGAGGCTCTTTAGGTCACGTGACCCCATCAGGCGTCACGCTTTTGTTTTTGTTTTTTGTAAAAATGTAATCAACTGCCCTCTCTCTGATCTCTCGCCACTTGTATTACTGCTTAATTTGCACAATTTACAGAAACGTTACAAAGCAAGACTATATAGATATTATATATGAGTACAGCAAAGTTTCTAAGGACAGATTAGGAGGAAAACCTTTTCTTTTTTGCTTTGGGATTCCTTTAAATGAACAGATACAGGGAAACAAAACCAGTTGTGATTTGATTTTCAAGAAGAAATAAAAGAAGAAAAGTCGGCAGAAAATGAACGAAAAATAAAAAATCTGTACTGTGCCAAGTTTCCTTTGAATGTTGTTTAGTGTGAAGACTTTTCCTTAGATGGGATGTGCTACTGCCGGATATTAAATATGAACATGCCTAGTGACTGAAAAAGGTTAGCGGCTAGAGTAACGACCCATCGTGGGAAGGACAGTTGTCACGACGATGAGATGCTGTTGTTGTAGTCGATCAGTGCAATCTGTAGGTTTCATAAAGCCAAATATGACACGATTGTTGCTTTATCATTGTTCTGCTGGTTTCTGGCTGCTTTTCCTTTATGTCTCCAGCAGCATCAGCTGCTTCAGGATTAAGAGGCGGAGTCATGACGTAGCCGCGCAGCTCTACCTGGAATATTACCCTTAATGATTTAACCATTAGATTGCCACTTCTTTTTAAATTTAGTAAGAAAATAGTCTTCAGGAGCCAAGGTCCTGCCTGCATATTTAGCATAAATGTTTTTAGGAGCTACAATGAGGTCAGGTAGCGCTTAGCAGAGCGCCTTCAGAAGTAAGACTAAGTCAGAAAAGCCGTTTCCAGCCTACAGCCACAGTTGCGTTTCTCTACGGTAATACCCAAATAAATGGGCATGGAAATGATAAACGGAGTGTTTCTTTCCACCTCTGACCTATAAATTTGAAACATGGATTTTAGCTTTTTATCCTCTCAGAGTTTGTGAGATAGAGTGATGAGACGTCTGTTCATTAGCTACAGCAGGCTGAGTAATCCTGCTCTTGGCCTGCAGCTCTTGTTTTGAAACCAGACATGTTTGGCTTCAGCTTTTTATATTACTACTTTCTTCAGACTGTTTCTTTCCCTTTCCATGCTTTTTGACCTCATGGTGAAAAATCATTTCATTTCTTTGCTTGCCGAAAACCAAACAGTGGTCTGTGTAATGTTTTTGTAGTTTCATTTGTAAATTGTAAACTTTTTCATGAACAAAAGCAGTTTTTCCCTTATTTTTAATTTCTTTTGTAATGTTTATTTCTTTGACGTGTAAATTGTACATTTTGAGGTACATGGAAGAGAAAATTCCTTTCAGCCTGCCTGGAGATGAAGTAAACTTGACGGAACTTTTTATTTCCCTGATGTCAAGGATCCATAAAGCGATTGTATGGGATCAGACAAACGTCCGCGTCGTAGTGATGGAAATGTGACTTGCTGCTTTAACTATTGAGGTTTTGTTTTTATCAGACATTAGGGCTGTCAGTCAGTGCTGATCATAAATGCTGTTCCACCTGACTGTTTATCTGAGCTGCACATCAACACGTCTCAACTGGAAACGGAAACGAAGCAGATTAACTCCGAACACACACAATTGATCAGCAGCAGATCAATATGTTTGCTATTTCTGCAACAATATTCAATATGTTACTCATCAGTTTCTTTAGACTCGATGTTGCTTTTATATTAAATAGATGAGGTTAGAAGAGGACTTCGCAGACTCTGTCAGACACCATCTGCTCCCTCCCTAAACACACAGTCTGGGTTGTAACATTCTCTGTTTTTTGCTCTCAGTCTGGCTGATTTCAGCCTCTCTGTCATTTCCATCATCACCTCCCTGTTTAGACTGGCCTTGTTTTGTGAGTCTAAACATATTTCCAGAGAAACTCATCAGCTTCTCTCCTCCATCCTTCACTTTGCATCGATTCTGACTGATGACTTGTATTTACTGGTACTGATGTTGAAGAATGTTCATTGTCTAAAAGCATTTATGTCATCAGCAGCTGCCAGCATCCCAGCTGTTGGTGTTTCTGGTTTTCAGCTGGTTTCAGTCTCATGAACAGATCAGTTACTGTACCATCTTCAGGTTTTGTGGATTCAGCCCTTTATCTTGTCTACTGCTTTGCTCAAGAGTCAGTTTTGCCTTTCTGAACCATCGCTGGATCAAAGAAAACGTCCTGGCATCTCCCTGCTCCTTAGTCTGGATTTTTGTTTTCTTCAGAAGGAAAGTTACCAAGGATCCATGGAAACACAAAGCAACTGAATTTCAGATCGTCTGCAAGACACTTTTATTACTCTGGTAACCACTCCGTTTTTAGAGTATCAAACTTGAAGCGACTGTCACAAGTTTGCAGGTTAACATTCATTGTGTAAATATTCTGTTATTTCCTATTTTGCAGATTTACTACTTGTAAATAAACACGCATCAAGGAGAGATTAAACAGTTTTTGGTAAAAAAAAATTAAATGTGGCTTGGATTTTTTTCTTGTTTTGTGTCTTGAACCAAGGCAGCGAAGTATGTTGATCTTAGACTTCCAATGAATCAAACTCAAGTTGCATACATGAGATAAACATCTGTTAATCAGACGGATCCACAAGGAGCACATATGGGAACATTGGGAGCACTGTGGACCTGAATGAAATCAGCAGTATCACCAGTGCACACTTTATTTATTTACTAACTTGTTTGCAGATTGTGCAACATCAAGTTGGTATTTATCAAACAGAGTTCATGACTTGATTTTACAGCTGATCCACTTCATTTCATAAAGTTATTACAGTTAGAAAAATAAGACAATTTGCCTTTTAGGCAAGTTTCCTTGAACAGGGTATACATATCTTGCCTGTTTTAGAAAGCCTTTTGAAAAACCACAGTTTGGAGGAACAGAGCTGAGTTCTGACCAGACAGAGCAGCTAACAGCTAGTCTGACTTGGGCCAAGACCACTATGGATTACATAATTTTCACAAATGTAATTTTTGTTCACGCAAAAGCTCATTTAAAGACATTTACTGCTCTGCCAGTTTTGTATCATTTGTTTTTCTGTTGTGGTTTACTGGTGGGCTGTCCAGGGTGTGTCCCGTCTCTCATCCAATAACTGCTGGAGATAGACGCTGGCTCTAAGCAGGAGTATGTATGGAGGGATGCTCTGGCAGGCAGATATTTACCTTTAGAGATAAAGAGTGAGCAGGTTAGTTCTAACCTCTGAAACAAATAACTTTTGAACTTAAAGAATATTAAAGTTTTAAAGATATCTTTGTAATTCAAAAATTCAAGACTGTGTAAATGTTTAGTTGTTACACAAACTGCTACGGTTGTTTTTAGACAACAGAATCACGCTTTAGCCTTGGCCGTACTACTGGTTAGCATGTCAGTCAAGTCAGAACTCATCTCTTTTTCTCCAAACTGAGGTTACTAAAGAAGATACCTACTGTTACAAGCCCGGTGAGTTGTGGTCCCTGCATGAGAAAGGCAGCGGCCCACGGAGCCATTTCCACATGGTTTTCCTGCTGCTGAAGGTTCAGCACCATGGAGAGCGGCCTCTACCAAGAAGCTTCCTGCAAGAACACCAGCTGGAACCTATTAGGCTGTGACGAGCCAGCCTTTAAAAACAGGCGTTTGTCACCTCTTCAGAGAGGGGCTCAGATTTTGTCTGGGTGCCTGCGCTGCTGTTGGGTGGCTTGATGAGGTTTTGTGAGACTAGGAAGCTTTTAGAGTTCTTTGTAGTGAACTGGGATAACTTATGGTTAACTGTTGGTTCAGATTAAGCCTGGTTGTTGGTACAGCTGACTGACTTACCTTTTATTGTAGTGCGCACTCTGAGAGCTCGCCCCTGGTTAACTTACTAACTGGCTCTATATGTATATGTTGTGTTTTTTTACCTACTTCCTTTAAGTATGTTCCTTAGAATCCGTGTTAAACATTAACCTTTCTCGAAGAGGGACTCCTGTTTAATAAACACTTAAGCTGTAAAGTGGTCTCCCTCCTCTTTGTGTCCCTCTGTCCCGGGTCTCCTATCCAGGAAGGAATGTAACACCCACAACAGGTGATATGGTAATCATGAGTAACCATTTAGCAGAAACCCATTTGTAAAGAGCTGAACTTTACTGCTCATGTGAAAAATTTTCATTCAGACTAAAACATCTTTCAAAAATAAGTAGCATTTATTTTCAAGAATAGCCATTACATTAGATTTCAATAGAATGACACAAATGCACAATTCCATAGGAACAAAGTGAGAAAAATATAGAATTTAATCAGACATGATCTTTTATTTTTTTACTTTTAAAACTAAAGGAAAAGAAAAAAGTTTTTTTTATTATTTTTTGTTAAAAATGAACCTGTTAATCAGTTTGCATATTAAATGGTAAAATGGTTTGTTTTTGATATAACGCCTTCCAAGGCGCTTTACAATACAATCAGTCATTCACCCATTCACACACATTTACACCCTGGTGGTAATGAGCTACACCCTGGGCTACACTGACAGAGGTGAGTCTGCCGTACACAGGAGCTACCGGTCCCTCAGAACACCAACAGCAGGCAAGGTGGGTTAAGTGGCTTGCCCAAGAACACAACGACAGCGACAGACTGAGCGGGACTCGAACTTGCAATCTTCCAATTACAGGGTGAGCTCTTAATTCCTGTGCCACTGTCGTCGTTAATTGATTTTTATGAAACAACTTTCTTATGCCCTTGTTAAATAGTTAGAGGTAAAAACACTTTTGGATTGTTTTGAATTGGGTTTGACTGCTCTGTGATGTTCTGATACACACATGCTCCTATAGACTCAGCGTTTGCATTAATTCTGGCTTCCTAATGGACTGTGTCATTCATTTTCCCATAATTGAAGTAGCAGAAAAAGAGACCCTCTCTTGTCAAACTGCTGCATGTTGGCTTCCTTCCTCTTTCATAAAGTCTGTGTGAGCATCATTAATCATTTTACCGAAGTGTGTGTGTGTCCTCCTCAGCAGAGTTAATACTAACACATTTACCTCCTAACCATACATCATGCCTGTGCTGCCCTCAGCTTACATGCTCACTTACATGGAAGAGTGGTTCTGTGTGAGGAACACAGTGCAGAGTCCGACAACCGGGCCGGGCTGCTCGGTTTGATGGCACGTAGTGTTGCTGAACACGAAGAAGAAGAAAACCACTGGAATACACCACCTTGTTCCTATTCTCCTGTTTTTTCCTTTTCTATCACATGCTTTGAAACATCAGCACTTCCCTCTCATCCCAGCAGATTCAATGAGGCCAGATAGACAGAAAATGTTATCGTTCACACCATGTGTAACCAGCCAGGCTAATTCAATTAAATTTCCATCCAAGGAAGAATGCTGAAATTGCGTAATGGTCGTGGGAGCACTGAATCTCGTAATGGTCCTGTCATGAGGCAAATGATCTCGCAGCTCCAACATTATGATAAATTCTTTGCAAAGCACAAGATGCTCATTGCTTCACCCTCCCACCCGCACCACTTCCGCCTGCATGTACATTTCTGTAGCAGTAGTTAATAAAGCCGTGATCTATATTTGCCTGCGCTCGGTTTTTTAATCTTGTTTAGTCACAATTGAAAAGGCCTCTCAGTTTTATCACATGGAGTGAAATTGAAATTCTATTTTAACTGAGGAGTCTTTGATGTCTGTCAGAGTGTGTTGCATCAAGTGTGTGGCGGAACCGGGGCGCCATGAGTGGCAGCGGTATCTATAAGGCCGCTAAATCCGGTGAGCGGTTCAGTTGCTCTGAGCAAGGAAAAGGTGACAGCCGTGACTGGTTGGGGTATGCTACAAGTTGGATTACTGTCACCTCTCTTAACTTGTGGTGCTCAGAAAAAAGCTCCAAGTCTGGAAAAGAGGAGTGGGTGTTAGTTCAGGTGCTGCCAACCTTCAGCCCACCACAAACTCAGGCAGCAGCACCAGATCTCTGCCAAAGAGAGTGAATACGAGTAATCTGTTAGATTAGCGCTAACATCCCTGTGGAGTAAATCTGAGCAAACAAAACTGAAGAAAATAGTCTTTTGTACATGATCTGTAATTCTAATATTGGATTTTTAAGGCTCAGTTTCGACATATTGAAGTCACATCTCTGAAAGAAAAGTGAGGGAAACACAGGTTTGCTCTGTTGATGTCATTCTGCAGCCATTCACAAGCTACAAAAGCTACATTCATTGTTACTGTACATGCATGTGGCATCACGAACGCAGCGGCGCGTCTGGTCTTCAATCAGCCAAAAAGAGCACACGTCACCCCTCTGTTCATCGAGCTCCACTGACCGCTAGCAGCACGCATCTAATTCAAATTGCTAACACTAGCATACAAAGTCCGAGATGGTACGGCTCCCATCTACCTGAATCCTCTTGCAAAGACTTACGTCTCAGCCCGGCCGCTCCAGTCATCACAGGATCGTCGGCTAGCAGTGCCTACACCACGCTCAGGACAATCCAGACTTCTGATGCATTGTTCCACAAATGTGGAATGACCTACCAAGCACTACCAGAACAGCGGCTTCCTTTTCGACTTTCAAGAAACTCCTGAAGACCCTGCTCTTCAGAGAGCATCTTCTTAACTAGCACCCTCCCTGCACCCGTCCCCCCTCTCTACTGTCCACTCTTTGTTCCCTCCTCTCCATGACTGATGTCAAGTTGTTGTTGTTACTGTTGTTAGGCTCAAGGGCAACATGCTGATTATCACTTGTGTGTTGCTTTGGACAAAAGTGTCTGCTAAATACATAAACATAAACATCAGGGCCCAGTCAGCACCAGGGTTAAGCAATAAAGTCAGACATCTACATGTGGAATATTCTAAAAACTGTTTAAGCAAACAAACAAACAATACATTTACCTGTATGCCATTAGATGCAGAATACCAGAGCTTATGCACATCATGCACAGGTTGGTCCCGGGCCAATAAATAAATTCTGGTGGTCCAGGACTGAAACCGATGGGAACATTGTGTTTAGCTGCCAAAGTTTGCAGAGCTTTGTAAGCTAGGCTAACATGCTGGTTTTTATTAGATTGGATAAATTAGCATTTAAAAAAAGTCATTTAAACTAAACAGCTCCTGTTCCATCATCCCAGCTGGCAGAGAACCCATCTAAAAGTTTTAGTCTCCGTCTCTGTCAAAATGACAGCATGAGGAATCAGACTGTGCCCATTTATGCTGTGTGATACGAGATGTGTGGTTGTTGTTACCTAAAATAATTTACTACTTCTTTTTTTATGATGGGGACTCCACATATATTAGTGTTGGTTTGTATTAGTATTAGATACTGGTAAAAAAAAAGAAATAAATACAATTATATATATATATATATATATATATATATATATATATATATATATATATATATATATATATATATATATATATATATGACATTGAATATTCCTACTAATGTCACTTTTTTTTTTACAACAAATCAGCTTGGACAGCTG